TGATATTCGTAATCAGCACAAAATTCTGCATCGGATGATGTGTCTTTCAAGGAAAAATGAAGAGTGCTTGATTTTTGAATTAGCGGCACCTTAGTAAATAAGCAAGAATCACGTAGCAAGACAAAAAGAGCTTGTAAACAAAAGAAAGACACAGTTCTAAAAAATTAGAACACGAGATACAGCAACAAAACAAATTTCCATCATGATGTGACACATTCGTGAAGAAAATGTACAAGATTACTGTTTACTTGATATAGGTAGTCTCTCTACGGTACTCCTGTGCTTCTTATTTCTGCAAAAGATAGTGTACCGATAGTAAATAAATAATCTGACTAAAAAAGAGAAAGACTTGACTTACCAAGTACTTTCACAGTACCTAACAAGTGAGCAGTTTTGAAAATACTTCCAGATTTGTTCAAGCACTTACCAAGTACTTCTCAATTAATCAAGTACTTGCATTAAGTACGTTCTCTAGGGTAACTAACTAAATATTATTTCAACTTTTCATATTTACGTATATTAAAACTCTTGTTAATTTTCGACAAAATATAAACGCTTTATTTCTTTAGTACGGAAATACTGAATTTATCATATCTTTCTCATCTTGATTCACTAAATGTTAAAGAGTTGTACTGCTCTCGTTTCGAGGACTTACTGATATACTGTTGTTGTTGTAAACGATTCTTATTCATTTCCCCTTTCTGTTTATCTTCATTCATTACCTGTCTCACTATTCTTTCTACTACTATCTTTGATAATGATTATTATTTATTACTTTATTGAAATACTCAATTTTCTCATCTAATAATTCTTTAGTGAAATATATTCCGTCTATAGAGACAAAAGATTATAAGAAATGGTAAAATCGAATTAATTTAGTAAAACAGCAATTATTTTGCATATTACGATTTGAATATTATGCTTTGTTTAGTGTCAAATTAATAACGATTAAAAGATTTTATTCAGTATTTACAACCTATTCATGGATGACTGATAAGCGCTTTTTTCTAATTTCATATCTAATTCATTTATTTCAAAACAGACATTACACGTGAGTGTTATTATTCATCATAGTTAGTATAAAGAAGTCTTTTACAGTTGTGACAATTTTTGTGAGAGTCTGAGCTAGATGTCACTGTGTAAGGTTTTTTTTTCGTAAGCAACTATAAAATCTGACCTTCGAAAGAAATAGAAAACAAGACGTTTATGATTGAGTTTTTTTTTTGCCGTTGAAGCAACGAAAATGCTTTGTGTGACAACGAAAGAAAAAGAAAACAGAATTCATAACGTCATAATCGTATGTCTTTTTTTGTATCTACAGACAGTGTATAATGGTCTAGCTCACAATAAATTACTTCTTTTGCAATAAAAGAAAAATTCAAGATAAGGTACTTATACAGAATAGACACCACACATTACGTATATACAGAATAGACACCACGTATTATATATAACAGAAAAGGAAAAAGAATTTATTGGAAGGCAAAAGAGCAATTGTATTAAGAGATTATAGACGACGCGATTAGAAACGGAAACAAAAGAATAGGAATTAGATACAGTAGAGAGTATAGAACGAAAGTAAATTTCATTTCCTAATAATTAACAAGTAATCATCAGCGTTATAATCAGTTTTGACTTCTAAATAGTTATCAATAATAAAGAGACAAACTGATTTGTATAAAATGGGAAGTGCCAGTGCAGAATGGCACACTTTTACCTCAATCTACTCAAGTTTCTTCAATCTACTCAATCTACTCAAGTTTCTTCAAATGGCATTTTATCCTTTGCCACTTATCGACGATATGACGTTGCGTGACTGGTACCAGTTTACAGATTCTTTTGAAAATACCGTTAGTTGTTGTCAGGCGCTCGGTTTAATTCCATTTAAACCAAGTGAGCCATGCAACAATGGACATAATAACTGGTGTATCGGAACATGTGGACGAGCAATCGATGGTAAGTACTAGTACACATTACTTAGTGCAATCCTTTATTTGCTTTTCTTTTTTAGGATGTCGCTGGATTTGTAAAGAAAGAAGTTGTAGGCTTACTCGTTCAATCCGTGATGGGACGTTTTTTTCGGGTTCCAAATTGGAGATGAGTCAGATACTAGACCTGATGCTGTTTTGGTCGCAAGGCGTCGATTCCCACAAGTTTCTTCGTCGTCACTGTGGTTTCGCAAGTAACTCAACAATTGTCGACTGGAAAAACTTTTTGTGTGACGTCTGCGCCGAACATTTCTTGCGCAATCCAGCTGTTATTGGTGGCGTTGGGCATATCGTCGAAATTGATGAAAGTTCCTGGACGAAGCGGAAGTATAATCGTGGCCGGGCAATTGGTAATCAATGGGTGTTCGGTGGCACGGATCGTGATACGGGTGAATGTTTTGCTGTTACGGTTGATCGTCGAGATGCAACTACTCTTTTACCAATAATTGTAAGTATGTTATGCGAGTCTAACGATTAGAGTCTCATGTATCTCTGTTTCTAGCAACAATACGTAAGACCTGGTACCACCGTATACAGTGATGAATGGCGAGCATATTCATCACTGTACAGCAACATCAATCAATACAACCATCTTACGGTGAATCACTCGCTGCATTTTGTCGATCCAACCACA